AATTAATTAACTTTGAGTTTATAATAGTTAACAATATCGAGTTTGATAAGTTTAACGTGGTTTTCATGTTTTATATTATTTTAGGTTGTTATTTAATAAATTTTCATACTGATGGATTTTCAAATATCACTAAAATATTAAAGTTCATGTATAAAATAACAACAAAATAATTTTGGATTCGAGTTTAGAAAGTCTTATATATAATTTTTCTAAATTACTCCTTTTATTTTCTTTATTTTTAAATAAAATTAATGAAATACTAAATATATGAGATGAATGTTGGAAGTTCCATATCGACTAGAGATAAGCCAAATTATAATATATATAAGTGGGGTGCAAACCTCACCATACAAATTGATTTTGTGGGATTGAGTTAAACTTAAAGCTCATTTGTATCATAGAGTATGGTTGAAGTCTGTATTATAACATATTTTAAAACAAATTATTGGTTATCTTTATAATATATTTTAAAATTTTTATACAATTTTAGATGATTGCTTTGTTTAATCTTATTGAATATTGTGAGTCTATCTTATATTAAATATATTTGTCAAAATTTAGAAAAAAAAATTAAAAATGGTTGACGTAACCAATATTATAGTAGGGAAAACATGATTATTTTGAAATTTTTTAATATTTAATAATTAAAATTTTATATTTTTAAACTGTGTCCTCTGGTTTAATTTTTTATTTTAACTAATATTTTTGAAACTTTGATCTAATTTAGTCCTTTAACTTCTTAACTTAATAAATATATAGATTTTGTTATTTATCAAATAAAAATAATAAATTTTGATTAAAAGGACAAAATTTACACATTTATAAAATAAGAGAACTAAATTGAATAATTTTTTTTAAAAAAAGACTAATTCTAATTTCAATTTTTTTTTAATAAAATGATGTGGTAATTATTTTCTGAAGTTTAACAATTAATATAAGATAATATTAAAGTAACAATCATTTTAATTTGATTTTATAAAAAAATATATCACTTAATTAAAAAGAAAACTAAAGTAATAAAATATTAATTAAATAATATAAAAATTTCAAGTACTTAATAAAAAAAATTGTAAGAACATAAAAAATAGAGTATTAAAGTTGGTAGGTATATTAAAATAATGACACCGAGTATTTTATTATAAAATAATTTCATAATATAAATAGAATTTTCCAAACTCGTCTCATTATCTAAAACACTGTCTATCTCTCTAAAACACTATTCTCTTAACCTCTCTACCATCTCTCTAAGATTTTTTACTCCTAAGTCATCTATTTGACGATCAGGAGCTGTCTAGGCGATCATTGCGACGAAGTCTAACCGATCAATTTGTGGTTTAGAGCGAGTAAGATTTCATCTCTTTTCTTGGTCTTTTCTTGATTCTTGATCATGCAAAAGGGAACTATTTTGCATGCATCAAGTTATCTTCTTCTTTGATTCTTGGTTCAATTTAGGTTCTAAGGTTTGTCTCCAATCGCCAATCGATAATTTGTAGTTTTTCTAGAGATTCCTTGTGGAGGAAGCAACTGTCGAGGATTTTTAGAGTGGTGGAAGGTTTATAGAGGTAAGGGAAGCCAAAACTTTCTTTAATTGATGTTAATGGTGCAAGTTAGAAGATTTTATGAATGTTCAATTGTTTGAATGAAATTTCTACTCTATGTTGGATGTAACTTGATTAATGGGGTGTATTTGAGTACGTGGTGATGAACTGATATGGTGAATTATATTGAATATGATTTGTTTGTAACTGGATGTTATTGTGTTATAATTCTGTTTGGAAACTGTGTTGTAAGGTTTATTGAATAAATGTTGAAAACTTAGAAGTTTTAGTAGTGTTTTGGAAGGATAAATGAAGTTTTAGGTAGTAGTATTGAGAAAAGGGTGGAAATCTGGTTTGAAGCAGTTGTGGTTAGTTATGAGGTGTTTTGTGAGTTGTTCAGGTGATTGAAGTGGAAAAAAAACTTGAGATATGAGTATGAGATGGTAGTTAGGCAGTGTTTAGCTTGTTTTAGGACTAGTTTTTGGAGTGTTGATTAGTGAAAACGTGAATTATGAGTGATGTACTCAAATGGTCAGTTTGAGGAGTATTGGTCAGTCATATGGAACTTGTTGGAGTCCCTAAGTTATTTGAAATTGTGCTATAAATGGTGGAATTCAATTTGAGTATCTTAAGTTAGGATTGGTAGATTTTGGAGTTGGATCTTGTAAGAAATCACTTAATAATGAGTTAGGGATGGTTGGGAGGAAGTTATTAAAGTTTAATTAAGTGTATAACATGATTTAGGGGTGTTTGAAGTTGGGAAAAATGTATCCATTTGGGGTTTGGGATCACTGTCTATGTATTTACACAACAAACTGGGTCGCTTAGCCAGAGAACTTTGTGGTTTCCCAATGAGCTTGGTCGTTGAGCGAATAGTCCAGGAGGTGTTTTGTTCTTTCCATTCTTGTTTCTTGATAGTTTGTAGTTATGTTTTGATTCATTGTGAATGATGTATAAGTATTTCTGAGATTATATGTTTATCAATGTTATGTGTTGTGATCCAAAGTGAAAGTATATGGGCTAAATCATGGTTTCAAATGATATGGAAGAGAATTTCAAGGAGGAATTTCTCAATGGTGGTTTCAAGTGTTGTAAGTATGAATATGGGAAATTCAGTCTTAGAGTTCATCCTAATATTCTAATGGTCAGTTATTCTCAAACAGAGAAGGGTGAGGCATACAGTGAGAATAGCAAGAGGTCCTAATCTATGAACTTTACCTTGACCTAAAGCGAGTGATAACATACTATTATATAATTGTAAGTTTAAAAATTATAATTATTTTTGGATAATTGTAAGTTTATACTTTATATTATAATTTATAACTGATCTATCATATTAAGTATGGGATGACTATTATATAATTGAATGTGGGATGTTATAATAATAATAAAGATTCAATTAAAAATATTTAAATTATGTTTTCGTTAATTATGATGTTTTAAATATCTCGTTAATTATGTTTCTTCGTCTATCTAACTAAATATACAATATATATATATATATATATATATATATATATATATATATATATATATATATATTGTATAAACACTAATCTGTTTATCTAACGAGATGTACTGTATTACTACCATTTTAAATCTTTTGGGTTGTAAATATTTTGAGTTATTTCATTTTAATTTAGAGTTTTTACGTCAATTTTCATTATTTTAAATCCAAATATATATATATATATACACAAAATAACATATTAAATCATAAACACAACATACATTTATATATTAAATTTAATAATTACTGTAAATATCAGCACACGTGACAACAAATTACAAGTATTACGAAATATTTAATGATTTGCGTCATTGGATTTTTGTATAAATTTAATGATTTAGACTATTAATAATATATATTAAGTTCATTAAGGAATTCTAAAGATATTTTTACATAAATTTGTATTTTAAAACATAATATTTAAAAGTTAAACATATGAAAATTTAATATAAATCACGATACTATTCTCTCTCCCTACACATTACAAAATATATATCATTCCTAACATTGTTTCATCCACCGATCTTATCCGCAACAAAATCATAAAAATAACATGTTTACTGTAGAAATTATTTATTGAAATTAAAAGATTTTGTAGAACGCAATCATTTAATTTATTTAAGGGAAAAAGAACACCTTAAATCATGTATGAAAAATTTATGAATTGGTATTTAAATTGTTCTTTGATATTAATTATCAATATTTTGACTACTAAATAAATTAGTGTCTAAATTAGTATCTAATTAATTAAAGATCAATTTAAACTTTTCAATAAATTTATATTTTAAAAAGAGTCTTGAAAAATATAATTATACAATGTGACATTTAATATCAATATATTCTTCAACTGTAACAAAATTTTACCCAAATAAAACCAAGTTCCGTTTTAAATATAAATAACCAAAGCTGTAGAGATATTGTCTATTAATTATATTTATTAAAAATATAGTCTAATAATATATTAATTAATATAATTATATATTTTCAATATATATATATATATATATATATATATATATATATTTGTGTGCTGTGTTTTTTTATGTAATTTACCATAAAAAATAAATATATTTTTATATAATTGTCCAATCCAAAAAACAATTTTAGTTAGAAGAAACGTCAATAATAATGAATTGATGGTGATACAGGATCGCTTTGACTTATTTATAGAGTTTCTTTTAGTGTTGCAATTTATCAAATTTACTTCTGTATTTGGTTTGACTGATTATTTATTCTTGTTTGCCTTCTCCCGGTAAGGACAGAATACGACTTCTTTTTTCCCTAATGACACATATGAATCTAAAATTACCTAAACATATTGTGCCAAATATTTATATAAAGAATACAAGTTTCTTTTTTCATGTTAAAATTTAGTTCCTTTGAAATTGAATTCTCAAGTGTGATTAAAAAGAAACTAGTAAAAGAAAAATAGAATTTGGTTCCTTAAAATTTAATTATGAACTGTTTTTTTTTTTTCGTTTTCATTTAAAAAAAGGAGGAAAACATTTCTTGAAATAAAAATTACTAAAAATAAGCATAGTTTTACTACTTAAAAAATAAACAGTAGCATATGTGTAAATATTTTGGAATAGTATTGTTTAAGCAATCTGTGTCCATGTGTATTATTTGAGTGAAAAAAGCACACAATTCAGTCTTAGTAACTTAAGCTAAACTAGATACTCCTAGAACCATGATGCGTTGGCCATGCTGCCCTGGGGTTTAGTCTCATTGGTAAGCATCTTCAAAGATATTTTTTTTAGATAATCAGACTGAAATAAGAGAATATCACATTAAACCATCAATCTTTCAAATGGAATATAATTGTAAACATAATCACAAATTTATAAATCTATAATCAAATACGTACCTGGCTTGTTGCAGCAATAAAAATATTTTCTTCAAACCTTTGAGCAATCTTCTGAAGTTCATGGAATCTTTCTTGATCAAAAAGAGGAAGATGTCTTTTTAAAATCTCCATTCTATAGAAAATGAAGAAAAGCGATTTAATAACTAAATAATACAAGTGATAGAAAACTTATAGTATTTTTTATTTTTTATTTTTAATTTTCTCTCATTTTTCTGCAGTATTTTTGGCCAAGGCTAGCATGGGTGGCTATATATAGTAGTTCCCTTACTTTGTAAATGACTTTTGAAATATATGAAAAACTGAGAGAATTTGAAGCAAACACTTGTGAGAGTAATTCTCATTAATGAGTTTTATCTTGATTTCTAGAAGTCCAAGTGGTTATTATTCCTTAGTGCTTATCTTGAAGATGAAAGTGGAACTTCAAATTCAAGTGGCGGGCCTTGCTTCTTCCATCATCTAACTACTCTCCAACTTTTATCTTTTAATTTGTGTTCATGTTCTTATGCTGTATAATTTTCGGTTCAATAATATTCTAATCGATTTCCGTCCATAGTTATGCTCTTCCTAAAGATTAGATTATGCTAACTTGAATTCTAGATCCTACACTTGCTCCTATTCTTATGATTAGAATCATTCATTCAAGCCTCTTAAGAATTGTTTCCAAGTTTTAAGGCAAGAATATATAGATTCAACTCCCGTAGTTATCTTGCTTCATATAAATTTAAGCTTCCTTTCCATATATGAACTGTATAAAAAATATAAGAGAAAAGTTCTACCAATAGTACTATAGTTTCCACTAAATATCCATCTGCCACAAATTGTCTATGAGGAGAAAATATGTATAAGGTGGAAATTCAATGATACAATTCAGTGATTTTCAAAGGGGATAAGGCAGTGAATAGCAAGAAACATTTGACAGTAGGATAAAGAAAGGATCATTTTGGGTGCACTCTGATGACGATCCCATGATTGAGCATGGTAAATCACAATATCAGACTGATCTCACCCTCAATAAGTTCAGCTTGCCCAGTATCCTGGACATGTAAAATGATACCATCTTACAAGGTGCAAATGGTTTTAACAAAATTGTCCCACTAACACGTCAATTAGCATGTGTAATTAGCATGTTGCTGACATGCTAAACCTCATTCCTACACTTTTATCATGACATTAAAAACAATGAAGCTATTTTTCATCAAATATTAGTTTTAAACTAAATTTGAAAACATGTTTACACGATATAAAGTTGTCAGTCAATGTTCTATATACATTCATTTATCATTCGAAAAGAAGACCAGAGTTCTCATGAAAATGTTGACCATCTATGGAATCATTGATTTACTTCTGTTGAGAAAAAAAAAGAAAAAAAATTACAAATGATAGACAATATTAAAACTGAATCTTACATCTTGTTGACATATATTTGTCGTGTCTCTGGGTGCAGTTCATCTCTCCAATGACTATTGGCTTCAGTACCTTGATTACGTCTCCCCTTATCGTTATCCATCTAAACACCAACACCAACACCAACTATTCTTGTCAAATCGGATTCCCAAAGAAGGTGCAAAAGAAAAATATAAATGTATGAAACATTAGGAAAATAAGATCAAGTTTCTTCAATGGACGAAGGACATAGACTTATACGACTTATAATATCAATCCAACATGTTTAAACCTATAATGCATGCAAAAAGATAGGCTCATACGACTTATAATGTCAATCCAACATCTTTAAACTTATAATGCATGCAAAAACATTAATTTTATAACGAATACAAATATGGATGGTATAGTAATTAATTGTAAAAAAGCCAATAACAACAAAATTCCAAAATTACATAGAGTGTTTCCTCATCTTAATTCGTTTTTCACCACATTTTGCGATGATGTCTTGTTGTGATTCCCTTCAAAGAATGATTCAAAGGAAACACACCCTCTTTTCACTAGCTCTTTCGATTAAACCGTTATAATAAGGAAAGAAAGACGATTAATCCAACATTAGAAAACGGAACCTGATGTTGGTGGCGCTTTAGGGATATTTTTGGGGATGGCGTGGGCACTATTACACTTTGCGTGTCTGACTGCTGAGCTTCAACTTTAATGTAGGTGACTGCAAATGGAGGCAAAATAATTATAAGTACCAAGTCTTCTGAAATCCAATAACATATGTAACACCAAACAAAAACAAAAGAAGAGTTTTTGACGCACCTAAATATTTTACATTCATTTGAGGTTACTTTACTTATTTTTTATTTTCTTCTTTCTTGGTTTCTTGAAAGCTCAATTCTGACATGTGATTGAAAAAATATAAAAATAAAATTTTGAACTGGGCTTCTACTTTTTTTCTTTTTCATTTAAAAAAAGGAGGACTAATTTTTTGGAAAAGAAAATATTTTAAAAAAGTAACTTGACTACGGACTGAGCCAAAAATTGTATCATATGTGTAAATATTTAGAATAGTATGCTGCTTAAGTAATTTTTGCATCTAAGTGTATTATTTGGGTGAAAAGATCACACAAATAGAGTCTTAATAACATAATCTGATCTAGAAACAACTTCGAGTTAGATACTTCAAGAACCACCTTGATTTGGTACGTTGGCCTTGGTGCACTGGCATCCAGTCTCTATCGAATGCATCTTTAAATATATTTTCAGTAGATAATCAGGCTGAAATAAGGGAATATCACATTAAACCATCAATCTTTCATATTGTATTTGTTTGTAAACATAATCACAAATTTGTAAATCTAAAATCAAATACGTACCCAGCTTGTTGCAGCATTAAAAATTTTCTTTTCAAACCTTTGAGCAATCATATGAAGTTCTGGCAATACATCTTGACCAGAATCAGGAAGATGTTTCTCTAAAGAGTCAACCCTATAGAAAATGAAGAAAAACAATGTAATAGCAAAATAATACAAATTATAGAAAACACAAAGTCAATAAACAATCCTAAAATGTTATAAGCTTATTGAAATCATAGACATATCGTATATAGTGGAACTGATATCTCAAGCAGCAGGGATTGGTTTTATAGCTTTGATAGTCTCTCCGTATAAATATGATGATTGAATGATTAAAAATGAATAAAAAGAACAACCTCATCTCATTAAAAAACTTAAATTGAAAATTCACCGATTTTTAAAAAACTAGAGAGAGAAATTAAAATTCGTAACAAGATACAAATGATTCATTTAAATTAATGAAATAAATGATAATAGAATTAAATTTAATAACAAGTCAAAAAGATAATTTTAGAATAATTCTAAAAACTAAAAGGGTGATTAAAAAGTTTATTGAAGAAAAAAAAAAGTAAAAAAATTACAACTGATAGACATTATTAAAACTGAATCTTACATCGTGTTGATGTTCATTTGGCGTGTCTCTGGATGCAGTCCATCTCTCCAATTACTATTGCCTTCAGTACCTTGATTAGGTCTCCCATTATCGTTATACATCTAATTTTTATAAACAGAAACACCAACACCATAGCATTATTGTCAAATAGGATTCCCAAAGAAGATGCAAAAAATAAATATAAATATATAAAATATTAGGAAAATAAGAACAAATAATTTTTTCCTCAATGAAGAAGATTATACGACTTATAATGTCACTCCAACATGTTTAAACATATTATGCATGCAAATACATTAATTTTATAACAAATAAAAATATGGATGGTATAGTAATTAATTGAAAAGGCCAACAACAACACAAATCCAATTTTTTCAAAGAATGATTCAAAGGAAAGAGACAATAAATCCAACATTAGAAAACGGACCTGATGGTGGTGGCGCTTTAGGGATTTTTTCGGCAATGGCATGGGCACTATTACACGTTGCATTTCTGACTGTTTAGCTTCAACTTTAATGTTGGTGACTGCAAATGGAGGCAAAAGCTTTTTAATTGTAAGCACTAAAGTCTTCTGACATCCGTATGTAACACCAAACAAAAATAAAATGATAATGACACCAGATCTTTTAACTTAAATAGCATACATGAATCAAAAAATTTCTTGAATAAAATATTGTTAATTCTGAAAGCCAAATTCTGAATTCTGACCAAAAAAATAAAAATCCAATTCTGAACTGAACTTCTACCTTTTACTTTTTCATTTAAAAAAAAATAAAAAGTAACTCGAAAACCAAATGACCCAACAACTGTACCGTACCATGTGTATTTGAGTGAAAAAATCACACAATAGAGTCCTAATTAACTTAATCTGAACTGGAAACTATTTCATGTTAACCACCTTGATTTGGTGGGTTAGTCCTGGTGGTGCCTTGGGGTTTAGTATCCATCGTCTCAATCTTCAAAGATATTTTCAATAGATAATCAGGCTGAAATAAGGAAATATCAAATCAAACCATCAACCTTTAGTATTGTATGTGTTTGTAAACATAATTACAAATTTGTAAATATAAAATCAAATACATACCCAACTTGTTGCCATAGTAAAAATCTTCTCTTCAAACCTTTTAGCAATTAAAAGAAGTTCATGCAATCCCTTTTCACCATGAAAAGGAATATGTTTTTTTAACTTGTCCAATCTATAAAAAATGAAGAAAAACAATTTAATAACTCATTAAAGTGTAAGAAAACTTTATTGAAATCATAGACATCTAGAACAAAAGACATATATAGTAGAATTGATATCTCAAGCAGCAAGGATTGGTTTTATAATTTTGATAGTTTCTCCGTACAAATATGATGATTGAATTATTAAAAATGAATAAAAAGAACAAGAATACAAAGTTAAGGAGAGTTACAAGTCAAAAAGATAATTTTAGAACAATTCTGAAAAATAAAAGGGTGATTAAAAAATTTATTTGGCAGTCCAACCACCATGAAACAAGCTAAACCATAGAATTAAAAGATAGAAAAGAGTGGAATGAGACGAGAGTGACAGGATCACTAAGCATAGAAATAAAAGATAGAAAATAAGTATGAAACTGCCTATCAATGTTCTTTCGTATACATTCATTTTTCATTTTTCATTTGAGAGTCGTCACAGAAATGTTGGCAATCATAGGGAGAA